TACTAGGGGTGCATGCCCTGCTCTGGGGATTTTGGGGTGTATGTCCCAGACTAGAGATTTGAGGGGTACCCAATACTAAAGGACTGTGTTCCCCTACTGCCCGGGGATGAGGCTTGGCTGTGTCAGTGTCAGGCCTAAGACCCACCCCTCTGGCGTGCGTGGGGCCTCTCCACGCAGTACACGCCAACCCCAAGCAAGCAAAACTCGTGAGATTAGAAAGCAGTTGTGGTGCCTTTTCATTTGCTTTCCCGTGGCTGCCAATGCATTCAATGATTCAGTCACGTTCCCACCTTCCCCTTTGCAACCAAGAGAGCAAAACCTCCCCTAATGCCCTTCCCCTGCCTCCAGGAGCTGGGGCTTTAAGAGCCGCCGCACCCAACAGTGCGGACGCCCCACGCACCGAGGTCATTGCACCAGGGGTAGAGGGTGGGGTTGAGCCACTGCCCAAGACCGAGATGGCGCCTATTAGCGTCAGTGAGAACTACCGCGGCCCACGATTGCCCACAATCAAGATGGCGCCGGTAGCACTTCCGGCCCGGCACTTCCGGATGGGCGGTTGCCTGCTGCCCCGCCCCATCCCCTGCTGTCAGTTCCCGGCGTGCTTTGCACGGGGTGGCCGGCGGGGCGGGGCCCAGCCAAAGGACCCAAAATGGCTGACTTCGAGGATCGGGTGTCGGACGAGGAGAAGGTAGGAGCAGGGTTTCTTGCCTCCCCCGAGCTTACCGCGTAGCGCCTCCCGCTGTCCCCATCCCCTAGGCGGACAGGGTCTCGGCCCTGCGCTACGGCAGGAGGAGACCCCTAAGCAGCCCCCTGCCCCTATAGCGAGGGAGAAACTTCTTCCAGTACCTCCCACGTCCAGGGAAGAGACCCCCTGACACTACTCCCCTATTCCGAGGGGAGAGACCCCCTCCAATACCCCCAGATCCCTCTCTAGAGAGGGACGAAACACCCCCAATATCCCCCTCTGCTGCCCTCCCATAGAGAGGGCAAAGACCTCGCCACCCCCACCCCCCACACACACAGTATCTCCCTGGTGCCCCATAGAGGAGGGACAAGGACCTATGTGAACTGTTACACTGGGGGCTCTCTTCCCTGTAGGGTATCATCTTGCCTCCAAAAAGGAAGATAGTCACACCCCCATGAGGGTGAAAACCCCTTATACTAATTTTGATTCAGTATGGCATGTGCATGCACCCCCTATAACTATATCCCCTTCCTGATAGAATTCTCCCTCCTCCTCCTTGCTCATTTCAGAGGAGAAGGTGCATAGGGGGTGGTAGTACCTCCTTCCTCTTTTAGTATGTCCTTTTTTGTGTCTCTAATAGTGCGGGGAATGGTGGCCTCTCTCTCCACATATTACTTCACAGACATGGGATGGGAATTGCTCTTGCTGTGGGAATAGCACAGTTAATCTGGACTGTTTCCAGTTGCCATTGGGAGGAAGACCTAGACAGTCACTAATGGAGAGCCAGGAGAGGAGCAGTCAGTTCCTTGTGATGATTGTTTCCTTCTAAGGTTTTTGTGCAAATGCTCTTTCAAGTATCTTTTTCACTGATTGTGGGGGGGGGGGGGAACCCTGTAAATGTCCATTTTCTTGTTGATGTCTTGTCCTTTTCTAGTAAGTCTCAACTCCTGCACCACTGCTGAATGTACCAACCTCAGGTTGGAAGTCAGCAGTCAGCTAGCACACAAGTTGGAGGAAGACTTGTGACAAGCCTCATCTCCTATGAAAAGTCATTGAACTATTTAGTGTCAACACAGCAGACAGGGCCTCTCCTACAAAGCAAATACACTGATTACATCTATATTGTCAATCCTAATTAGTCTAAAACTTTCATTTTTGCCTTTATCTTTAGTTGAAGTTTTTCTAAATCCTCTTCGGATAGCCCCCTATGAAAAGAACACACTGAAAATTCAGAACACTTAAGAAATTACAACCATAATTTAGCTGCATAACCTGAGAGTATATGGCTGTAGTCTGGGACATGTTCAGGAACATGAATTTGCCAGCACACTGTGTAGGCAGACAGAGCATGGCCTGCTTGCTACTACAGTGTATAAAAGACGCTGTCTTGTTCTCAGTTTTTTTCTAGATCTGGTCAGTCAGGGTGTGTCAGTTCCTTAATCTACTTTTGCTAGCAATAGGAGTTCTCATTGATTAAACTTTGGTTTCATACGCAAGAAGCGGCACAAAGGGTAGATACAAGAAAGATGGAATGAGATCACCAGATCTCTTCACAAACGCACACACAAAATTTTGTTTCAGTGTTTTAAACTGCCATTGGGAAGGTTCATTTTACACTTTTTTTTCTTCCCAGTAATTTTTCTTCATTTCTTTTCCACCCCTCCAATATTCTTTTGAAATTTTCTGACCAGCTTCAGCTCATAATAAGGATCTGCTTCATAGATTCATTTATGTACTACCCTGGCTTTCCTCTCACTTGGAAGCTAGAATTGCCTGCTGGATGTTGATACTAAAAATAGAGACCTACTTTACTTAACTAAACACTGGTATTTTAAATTCTGATATTTTGGTACTTTGCATTATTTATCTTCTCATAGCTTTGAGTGCAAGTACTATGTTAGTCTTAGTAGTAGTATGGGATAAAATATGCTTTCTTCTGAACAATTCTAAGGCTAATTTCTAACAGTTTTCTCCATTTGCAAACAGCAGTTTTTAAGCTAAACACCCAATAAGTGATACCTGGTGTTTGTGTTGATTCTGGCCATCTGTTTCTGTGGCTTTCTTTAGTCCAGGCCTCTTCCTAAATCAATGAGGTTAGTGACCCTTTGCAACAAAAGAAAGGAACAAACTAGGCAAAGGAACAGAGGCCTCTATCTACAAAAAAATAATAAAAATGTAGGCTCTGCTGTGTTTTACAGAGCCCCCACTCAGCTGCTGTCTAACTGTGTAGGCACTTAAATTTTTGCTGTAAAAGTTTCTAAGGTGCTTAAGTTTCAGCTTTTTGACATGTGCACCACTGTCTCATACCTAAGCCCCAGTGTGAGCAAAAACCAAGTCAGGTGTTGCCCTGTGCTCACTAGATTGGGCCCTCTAAGCAAACTTAGAGCATGCTGAATTCTACACAAAATGAATGAAGGAGTGATCATCTCCTTTAATACCTTTAGCCCAGTGGTTAGGGTTTTCAGGTGGGATGAGGAAACCCTGGTTCAGTTATCCCGCCTCTGCCTGATGAGAGAGGATTTGAACCAGGATTTCCCCTTATCAGGTGAGTGTCCTAACTACTGATTTATAGAGTCACTCATTCTGTCTGTGGGCTAATGAATGTTTAATTAGATATACAAAATGGGACAGCTTCAACAAGAGAAATTGAGAGAGACTTAAATCAGAATAACCCATAGCCCTTTATCAGAGGGGTAACCATGTTAGTCTGGATCTGTAAAAAGCGACAAAGAGTAGCCGTGTAGCCACAGGACCAATAGTCCTTTAGTTAGGATAGTTTGCTCAATATTGTATAGTATAAATTCTAACCATAAGATTGTATATTTCCTCCTTTTGAGTAAATTCTATACCATTTTCAGCTATTTATACTTTATAGTTCAATATTGAATTTCAGCTGAAGATTTTAACAAAATAAATTAAGCAATCTTTTACCCCTTTCAGTAGGTGTTTCCCCAATTTTAAAAATGTTGGAATCAGAAGGGAACTGAGACAGAGATTAAACAAGTTGCCTGTGGCATCACTGGGAATAGAACTCTGAGCTCATAGTCTTCTGTTCTAACCAATAGACAACCTTGCAATCACTTTGCTGACAAATCTAGGGCATTGTTTGTTTTGCATACACTTTCTCTTTTTAAATGCTTAGCTTTAACTGCTCTGATTTTAAAAAAATCAGTGCACATCACTGAGAGAGCAAGCAAAATGAACTAATCTGATTTGTCACATCTATAAGTATCTATTCGTTGTCCCTCATAGTCATAGGTAAATGTTGACTATGCAGCATACGCTTCAATTATCCAAGACTTTTTGAATGTATATTGCTCTGGCTTCTGATGAATTCTGTGCACTGTCACCCTCTTTTTCTGCTTCCATTTAAAAAAAAATTGTGGTCAGCTGACTTCACTACTTGATGCTTTCCCCATTTTAGAAAGAGGAAGTTAGTTTCTGCTAGCACTCTGCAGAGATACCCGAAATGGTAATGATGAGCCAGGAAGTAGGTCAGTTTTGCAGAAATAGTGTTAGTTTCATACTTCTGCAGATGAACATGCTATCAGTGTGCTGACACCCAAAGGCGAAGAGACTCCAAAGTGACAACAGTGCGGAAGCTTGATATAAAGGATTAATTTCTTTACCACATACAAAGTCTGCTTCTTCCATTTCATGGGCAGACATTGTTGATTTCAGTTGTGTAGAGTAATGATCTCTTCCATTTTTTTTTAATTGCTCCAGATCAAAGGGAGGGGAGGGAGAGGATAAAGTTAACTTTATAAAAATGATAACATGTCTTTGCAGTGTGTTTTGCTCATGGCTGCTGTTTTAATGGCACTTGTCCTAAATGTAGATTTGTCAATCACTGTCTTGTCTATTTAACTTCACCAATCCTACTAAAGTGGGAGAAGTTACTTACAGATTAAAGTGTAGGTAGGAGTTGTGGTTTATTCAGGGTTTGAGTCCTGGACTTAGCCTTTTAGGAAGCAAACTATTTTAGGTGCAGGGCAGAATTTGGGTCTAAGGTGGGATAAAATGCCAAAAGAGAGGTGGTTATGTCTTCCTAACTATAATAAGGCCCCACTTTATCAGGGCCCCAAGTACAATGCAGTTGTGCAGCTGCATTAATGACCAGCCACATCATTTATCTAATTACCAAGATGTTGCATAAATATAGACACTGCGTAATTATTTTTTAATGGCCTTTTATCCAGCTGCCATTTTAGGAGCTCAGTTGGAAGAGTGACTGTGTCCAGTTGGGGAATTGGAGTAGGGAGACTATATCCCCTGCCTTGATCCTTCCAATTGAAATGGATCTTGGCATCAGTTAGATGAAGTTGTGTGTGTACTCTGAGTACAGCAGTTGTAATAATGCTTTAACATTTCCAGAGTGACATGTCTTATGTTTATGCTTATGCTTGTACTTTCTAAGAAAAGCACACACATCAGCCACGTAGGGTAGGACTCACAGTAAAGTCTACAGGGCAAACTGTGGAACAGCAATGTCCATATTAGTTACTATCCCGTAATCCTGATCACAGTTGAGGATAGTCTAACACTTTCTGTTACACATTTTTCAGAAGTTATATGGATATTAGATACTCTAACTAGAATGAGAGTTACTTAGCTAGTGGAATTTTATTAAGCAATGGAAAAAACACATTTTAGCAATTCTAAATGTCTGGCATGTTTCAGCAAAAAGCAGAAGGAAACTAAGGGCTTGTCTGCACTGGTACTTTACAGCGTTGCAACTGTCTTGCTTGGGGGTGTGAAAAAACACCCCCCTGGGCGCAGCAAGTTTCAGCGCTGTAAAGTGCCAGTGTAGATAGCGCACCAGCGCTGGGAGCTACGCCCCTCGTGGAGATGGGTTTTTGTAAGCTGATGCCGCAACTACACAGCCACGTTAAAGCACGGCCGCGGCAGCATTTTAACGTTGCTAGTGAAGACGTGTCCCCAGACTGAAAAGGTGGGCAAATATTCCATCCCGCTTCATGCCCGTGTTTATGCCTCTTTATTCTTTTGTCAGTTGCACTCAAACATAATTTTTAAAATAAATAAGTATAAATAGTTTTTGCTTTTCAAGTATCTTTGATACTGGCACCTTGCTCAGGCTCAGTCCAGCTAAGATGGAGGTGATCCTGGTAGGATGGGAAAGCACCCAGAAAGCATGGCAATGCCTCCTCTGTCAGTGAAATATTTTAAATCCCTTTGAAGGATGTGGAATTACAAGCTAGATGCCAGAATAATGTTTTTAAAGGGGGTTGGCCTCTCAACTCTGCTCCTGCAGATTAATTGATTGAATGATTAATTTGATATTTGTACTACTCTGGTTTGTTGTTCAAAATGGCCTTTACAGGACAAATTTAAAACAATACTTGCTGTATCAGCTGAAGACAATGAATGTAATGCCTTATCCAGCAAGAAAGCCTTAGCCAGCTTTTGCCATAATCGCCAGCTATGAATAACTGTAAAACTAAGTGGAAAAAAGTGGTATGTTTTATATATAAGCCTCAAAGGGAGCAGTGTAATTGTGTGGCTGAGTCTGTTTGCCTCCAGAGTCCTGTCCAGTAACATTATATTCCCTCAGGTACTGTGCAAACCAAAAAGCCTAGGTTGGAATTAGGGAACCTGTTGTTTAGACAAACAAATTTGCCTTAGTACCATGTGAATTCAAATGATACAACACACTAGCATTTAATACATTTTAGAACTCACTGGTGGTTTTGATTTTCCTTTCCCACTTCAGAGTTCAGGAAATCTCAGGTATTACTTTCTTCTGACATCAACCTGCTCAGATCTTTATCATAGTGCTTCTGATTCCAGATGCCGTAATTTTTTCACTACAGTGTGAAGCTTAATGATAGGCCCACAGTACAACTATGAGTGAAATATACAGTTCTAGACAAATGAATTAACAATGTGTCACAGAATGGCACCAAGTCCCTTTATTGACACATGCCAGAAATGGTTCCACATTCTGTGTGGAATTGTTCTCAGGTTTTTCCTTAACTAGAGACTCCGAATGAACAGTAATTCCAGAAAAGAGAGTAACGTGGCATTACTAATGATCAGGGAGCTTAACTTTCCGTGATTGGGGGAAAAAAAAAATTATCTGATTAAAAATACCTCACAAAAATCCATGTTTTTCCATGGTTAAAATGAAACACTGAACTAGTTCCCTAGCCACAATATATATAGGTATCAATGTTTTAGTGATATACAGTAGAACCCCATTTATCTGAGCCTCCATTATCTGGCTTTCCTTATTAACCGAACCACCAGCCACCAGGGGCTGACCGCCCACGCCCCAGCCACCAGGGGCTGACCGCCCACGCCCCAGCCACCAGGGGCTGACCGCAAGAGCTATCAGCATTGGGCAGCTGGTGGTTCAGTTAATACAAAGAGCTGGATTATGGAGGCTCGGATAAACGGGGTTTTACTGTATACATTTTTATTTTTTCACAAAAGATTCACTGTAAAAATGCAAATTCCACATTTTTCCATGGCAAATGGATTGCTAGGATCCCTGATCATGATAAACCATGGTGTCCAGTAGTGAATCCCTAGTCAACTCCGTGCAAACTCAGCAACTAATTGATAGGCTTAGAGGAGCTTAAATAGAAATTTTCTCCCTTGTTTCCAAATAGGAGGGCTTAGGTCTAAAAGTTTCCTGACCATATTCACTCCACGGTCTTCTTGCACAGGTCATGTTGTGTGGATGAAAGATAGAGACATACCTGTGTAATCAAAGTAGTATACATACACAATATCCTGAATTTTGAAGAGGTGTTCAATGCACGCAGCAGAAATAATGGTGGCTTAGGGTTTGCTGCTTTGTATTCCCAAAGGTTTTGTGGCTGCTTTTATTTAAGTATTTTGAGATGCTTTAGCGCCAGTAAAAAGGTTTAACTGTGGCTCCTGCTCTCTAGATTGCAAGAACAAGAGAGTCCTGATCAGACTGCCACAGTAGCTAAACAGGTCAAAAACTTAGAGATAAGTGCCTGGCCTCACTGCTGACTAACTCTCTGATCCTTCCAGTGTTTGTGGAAAAGCCTTAAGGCCATGGGTTGTATCACTGATCTGCTTAATCAGGCCAAAGCCGTGGCTACCCTCGAAACTTCAAAGCGCTGCCGCGGGAGCGCTCCTGCGGCAGCTCTTTGAAGTGCGAGTGTGGTCGCGCGCCAGCGCTGGGAGAGAGCTCTCCCAGCGCTGCAGGTACTCCACCACCACGAGGGGATTAGCTTACAGCTGGGAGCACTGTTTACACTGGTGCTTTACAGCGCTGTAACTTGCTGCGCTCCGGGGGGAGAGTTTTCACACCCGAGCGAGAAAGTTGCAGCGCTGTAAAGCGCCAGTGTAGCCATAGCCGTAGTCTCTTTACAACGTGCTCAGGAAATAATGTTTCAATTGCTAGCTTGAGAATAACTTTGACCTCTGTGAGGTCTTCCCATTTTTCTTCTACATTGTGGACACTTGTTTGCTCTGGAGGACATGCATCACAAAGCCAGGCAGTGTTGGCAGATGTGCCCCCAGCTCAGGGTGGTGGGATTCACCAGAATCGCACAACAGCAGATGCAAGAGAAATCACTTGTTGAAATCTGGAGGCTTGTTTCCGAGGCAGGGTCTCCCTCTGCTGACATCTCTAATTTCATTTTGTAACTTTCCATCACTGTCCACTTTTGTACTTTGTACGTTTCCATCACTCCGGCTTTCTCACTTTGTATCTTTATACTTTCTTCCATGAGCTCTTATAACTTCAATTACTTTCCCTTTGAAGCCTGTAAAGCATAACTAATTGTGTTTAAAGTAGGCAGGATTACATCTTTATGCAAATTTCTAGTCCCATGGTACTTGGTGGGGAAAGAGTATTTGCCTTCCTTCTTGGAAGGGATCTCCTCTCTCAGCTATCACATGCTGCTTGTTTCCTGATGGTCAGTGGCATCTCCTCCTACCAGTCATCAGCAGCAATGCAATTACATCACAGGCAACCCTGCGCTCTCTCAGTGTATATTACACCTCTTAGCTACACAGTTATCCAGTAGGCTGTCATCTAGTAGCAGGACTTTGGTAACTCTCTCTGTCCGTAATTGACATATGGACCTCCAGGTAGTTCCAAGCAGTGAAACTCAGTGGTATTTTGTTAGGTCACAAGAAGACTGTTAGATTTTTTTAAAAGGGAGAATGTTGGCTAATTGTGTGTGCACTTGTGCAGGCTGAGCAGTTTGGTGTCTAAGGTGATGTTTGTGATCACAAAGGGTGTTTCCAAAGCAAAGTCCACGTTTTCAAGTGTGTTCACAAATTGGGGTGACCATCTTCGGAGTCCTAGAGATTGATTTGTCAGAGGTGTTAAGCATCTGCAGCTTCCATTGACTTCAGTTAGAGTTGTGGGTGCTCAGATACTCTGAAAAATCGGGCCCAAAGTCTCAAGTTGGGTCCCAAGAACTGGAAGCGCACAGTTTCATTACACACACACGCGCGCGCACTATTTCCATTGATCATCAAAATGTACAGATGGGCAAAGTAAGAAAAATGCTATTTGGGAACGTTAGAGTTTGATTTAAGGGTATTTACCGTGTATTTTGGCATATGATATTGACAGTTTGTATTTTAACTGTTAGAAAGCTTTAACTTTGACTTTCAACATCTGTCACTAAATAATAATTGCCTGACCCCCTCATAATTTCCTACAATTGTGAAAATCTAAATTTATGACCATCAAAATGAATGCATAAAACCTATAATTTTGTGCAGCTGTGAAAATTTACCGGGATAAAAATTTTAAAAATACTTAAACATAAACATCAATATTATCCATCGAAATTATTAAAAAAAAAAAATCCGATTCTGTCAAGCTTAACTAAAGGACGCTTTTGAAAATTTGTGCCTAAATCTGTCCATAAATAGTAGCACTATCTAGAACTGTAACACTCAGTTCTGCTAGTGAGCTATGTTGGTGTAAATACGTTGCAGTTTGTTGGTACCAAAACAAAAAACGTGCACTGTGTATTGAATTTAGTCTAATGACTGTTTTGCTTAACTGCAGGTGCGTATAGCTGCAAAATTCATCACTCATGCACCACCAGGAGAATTTAATGAAGTGTTTAATGGTGAGTAAATAACAGAAAATTAAATAGTTCATAGGATTTTCCAGGTTTCAGCTATTATCAGAAAGAAAATATTTAAGGTACCTCACAAAATAGGGTTGGCAGAGGGGCTATACTTTTTAAGGCCAGGATTTTTCAGAAGTGGCTAATGATTTTAAATACTGCCTTATGACATCTGACAAGAGGCTGGATACACAGCACTTTCTGAAAATCAGACCCTGTTAAAGTGTCCCAACTTAAACACCTCAAAATTGAGGCACCCAAATCCGCCATTTTTGGAGTCACGGCCTAGGATCCTAGGTTAACGTAAATCTTTGTGTGATCGTTGTTTATGTGCATGTCACGTGGATGTTGTTCTATTGTGTTTCCTTAGTACCTTTCAGGCTTGATCTGGACTGTTTGAAGCCACTTATATGAATGCAAAATCCTTTGTCTGGATGCCATTTCACCTTGCTGCTTTGGTACAGTATTGACGTGATGGTATTGTGATGAAGAGTAAATGTTCTAAACTGGCTTTTACCAGACAAATGTAAAATCTAATTGTAAAGGGATATCATCAGGTACTCTGAAGCTTATGTTATGGAGACATAATAGTAAC